TTGAATTTGCGTTTCCAGGGTTTGATTTGTTTCGTCCATTCGCCGAAACATTCTTGCAAGACCTCTAACATTGAGCTTTGGGGTAGGAGGGGTCCTCGTGGTTGAAAGGGTTTGAATATTTCGTCCATCTACGGTAGTTGTAAGGTAAGAGGCTAGGAAGGGTTGGGACCAAAGTGCACGAGGACATCGAGCGAGACGACCCGCACAGCAAACACAGGCCAGCAGCAGCAAGCAACAAGCCATATGGCTCTGATAGCTATCTTCCACAAACACCCTGCTGATGCAAACCATACACCTCTGTTACGACTTGCATTTTCTACATCACCAAAAATCACAAGTTCGACCAAAATGGCCTCCAACAGAAAGTAGAAACACATAGAAACACAATTAATTAAGTTTAAGTTTCAAGGGTTTTCCAACAATGGTGTGTTAATCTGTTAATGCACCTCGTGCGACGTCATACATGCTGAGGTACATGCGACGAATCTACTGCGGCCTTGAGTGACCAACGGAGGCCTCACCGAAGTTTGCAAGATTGCGAGCAACCGGTTCGGTTGTGCAAGATTGCTCAACACCAAACAAACATTGAACAACCGGTGAAGATAACAAAAACAACAACGACGACGACGACGACAGCCACAGCAACAGCAACAGCAACAGCAGCCACAACCAGCGCAACCAGCGCAGCAACCACAACCAGCGCAACAACCACAACCACAACAACCACAACCACAACAACCACAACCACAACAACCACAACCACATCCAAAACCACAACCACAACCACCACAGGAGGACAACATCTAAAAAGGTGGAGACATTCACCACAAACGTTTCTTAGCTTCAACTTGTTGGCAGTACAGTGCACTTCCAAACCCTGCTTGGGCAAGATTCTACCTAGCAGTTTGACATGGAAAAAATAGGCAGCAGCCATTACAAAAAAAAACATACTCCTGCATTAACTGTATTTTTTTACACAGGGTTCCTGCACAGAGTTTGTGTAGATTGCTGTGCTCTTCAATTATTGGTTGTTGTGTGTTGATTGTTTTTTATTTTTAAATACTTTGAGGAAGATTGTCTAAAAGCTCTTGGCTGGTGCCTTTAGGAGTCTGTGGGGGTAAACAATTTATCTCAAAATATATCAAGCAAGTGCACGACAGGGCCAACCGTTCTGGAAGAAAATTGAGTTTCCCCCTCTCACTTCCCGTGTTTTGGATGTTTGTCTGGCATCCATTTGAATCTGGATAATTCAGGCAACATCCCTTCTATCGCGGTCTTACAATAATTTTGCTACCTGCCCCACCAAACCATGGAAGGTTTTTCCATCCCCGAAAATCTCTTCTGCTCCTGTTCAGTGGTCAACCAAGGCCACCTGGTTTTGACTCACAAAAAGTGTCCACACCATGGTCTGTCAACCAAGTCGCCTACAGGTTCTCCCAGACGTTCCCGCTGAAACCATTGACCATGCTGGTCTTCCAAACGATGGACCAACTTTGAGAATCCCTTCATGAGACAAAGACTGCAAAAGAGGCTGGTGTTGTTTTGATGGATATCCTGATATCCAAAGTGTCTTCTGTTCCTTCCAAAACATACTGCTCAACAATGTTTTCGACCACACAAGGCTGAGGGAATACTATCTTCCCGCTCCAAAACATCTCTGTCCTTGCCCACAGCCCTTCCAGCCGTGTTTTCATCCCGTGGTTTTTCCAGCCGTGATTCCAGCATGTCCACCCCAATGACACGCGTGGCTTGTATCTGCAGCGCAGCCAGCCGCTTGTTGATCACATCCCACCCTGCCGAAGACGCTTCGCTGATTTGAGGCGGATAGCCATGGCATGACACCGACGCACCAGCGACACACCTGTACCGACTGGTCGGTCGTGGCGTTGAAGGTCACGACCTATCCCCACTACACCCGTGGCGCTGCTCGCTTCCATGTGAGGTGTTCAGAGTAACGCCGGACCCTGCAGCTCGCCGTACCAAGCGAACAAGTGGAGAAAATCCCTCGAGAAGTCGAGTCCAGGTGCCCTAGAAATATGGGACATGACCTTATCAAACAAAAAATAGCTGGTACATACCCATTCTCTGGGGTGCTTTCACCAGGTCGATTCGAAGCCACTTCCCCACCGGCGCAGCTGCACCACCGCTCTGCAGGAAAAATCCTCCACGAGCGTGGAAGACATGGCGTAGACTCAGACTTGAAACCAATGGCACAATGGCCCCTGGAAAAAAGTCTGGATGCCGCGTGCTTGCGGCATCGAACCCGTTTTACGGCACTTGTTGGGAAACACCAATATCCTTTCAGGTTCGGACTGTTCGTAAACAAACATGTCTTTCTTCGACCTGATTTTCTCCAATGGCTCGCCCACCATGCGCACCGATTACGCCCAAGGCTTCCGACGATTGTAGAACTTGGGCAAGTTCAACACGTAAACCTGCACGATGCTGAAAACATATATGCATGTTTTATTTGGCTCTTCTTTCCCCACTGATTTTTCCGTTCGCCCGTTCCCTTGGCTGTGGCGCACAGTTTCGCTTGGTTTCGTAGGTAGGGACAGTGGGAATCTCGTTCATCCATTGACAGTGCGTCATCTATTGTCACCATCGATGAAGTTCTAAATCAGTGGAGAAGCGGGGGTTGATATCGAACACTTCGAGAATCACCCAAAAGACTTGGTCGCCATCCTTCTCACATGGAAGATCTATCCAACAAGCAACATGAACTCTGTGCAGAAGTTGCCAAAGGAAGACACACAGCAAAACAAAAAACGTACTGGTCGTAAGGTCGTACAAGCTTCCAGGGAGATGATGCTCTCCGCCTCCGGCGTACGTCACATTGAATCTGTTTCGCCCCCGATCTGCCCACGCAAAAGTCGTTGGGTTGATCAACTGAGAGTCTCCTCCCTCCGGATCTACAGCAACCCGTCCTTCACGTTCTTATGAAACCACTTCAGCGCAATCGCATCCTGCGCCCGGTACCACTCACGGAAGAAGAAGAAGAAGAAAACGGGCCGTTGACGTAATATGAGACCTTTTTGGTATTGTTGAACGAATTTGGGCAACATGTTCTTCCAAAACCAAAAACAATGAATAGTGTTTTTGTATACAAAGGTGAGTTCAAACTGTAGGGTTCCAAATACCTCAGGTAGCTGGGGTGTCTTTTTGGGATGTCTATTTTCAACTCTTCTACGGATGTGGTTGGAACACGGAACAATCCAGGTATCTGACTCTGCAACGCTATAGCCTCATCAGGTCAATCCAGAGTGCTTTGCTGTACTCCCGTCAGGCCCCCCGAGTAGCACAGCACGTCAACCTGTTTTGACGAATCACATTGAATGTATATGGATGAGGATTCTATTTTGGGATTCGAGCTGGAAGGACCATCATGTATGGTTTTTCCCCTTATGCAATGGCGTCCTTTCTGTTGCAAACCTTGTTGCGTAACGGTCTGAGAGAGAGGATCACCTCATCCAGGTGACGTTTAGGCGTGGTGTCCCTCTTCCCCTCACAGACTGAGCCCGCGGTTTCCAAGACTCGTTGGAATCCAAGCATGTGTGCAAGATGCGCTTTCCAAGACCACAAACATCAAGAGACGGTGATGAAAACATATGGCTCCAAACATGGCGCCTCAGAGAGAGACAGTCAATCCAAAACCATCATCCGAAGTTAGTCACACATGATTGACTATTGTCATCATCAACTCCACTCATCAGTTCGCTGCCCAATGATATTCAATGGACACCAATCAAAGCTGCCCCACACCACATCCATCCCCAGTCAAGAAACGGCAAGGCACACCGCGCGGAACACTGGCAAATACTACGTTGTTAATCAACATTTCTGATATGTTCTGATTCTATCAGGGAGTCTGAAGGAGGGTGAGGAAGGTGAGATCACAGAGTCTATTCTACAATTTACCTTTCCCAATCAGGGAGTTTATTCTACACACCAAACTGTTGCCTTCTACCAGCAGTCTTCAACTGGCATGCAAAACAAGCGTCCCGTCAAATGTGCCTAATCACACACATCACGAAAACACTTTTTCAACATCTTAAAACAAAATCACACAAGTCGGACCCCTTTCTCTACATGCTCTCCTTTCTCTACAGTCGCCCTCACTTAGAAAGGCCCGAACAGGTCCCGGTGCTGCATCTGCTTCTCGAAAACCACCGTCTCACCGATTGGATGACCGGTTCACGGCGCCGCGGACTGTTTTCGACGACGGTCCTCTTCCGGGTAGTAGGGCTTTGGAATCCCATGCTTGGCGCCATCGCACAACTGCGGGCGTTCGCGTGGCGTGAAGCACGCGTGAGTTTGGCGTGCAGCACGAGGCGTGCGTGTTTGGCGTCGCAGGCATCTGCAGGAAGCGGGGGGAACATGCTGGGGACGTGCCCGTGGAGTGGCTTTTTGGGCACCATAAGGATGCACCCTCTACCCTTGGGCTGTGTTGTCACGGGGCCTCGCGAATCTTACGTCTGAATCCTCTCCTCGTGTGAAGATGCAGACTCTGACCAATTGGAAGGTTGAATTCAGCAGCTTCAATGCCCGCTTCAAACTTTCCTTGCTTCAGTTTTCACTTCAGGTGCTTCTCAGGTCGTCTCAGGTCGTCTGGGTCACCCACCGCCGGTGCCTCTGGATTCAAAAGCCCATGGAAGGGCGACACTTGAGGGCTCGGCGCATAGCCTGGGCGGATTACATCGAGACATGGACTTTTGGGCCTTTTTGACCCGGGACGAGCGGAGCTCGACCCGGTATGTGGTTAACCGACATTGTGAGATCGCTTGTAGTATCGCTTCTATGTCACATGATGTCACATGTGAGAATGTGAAAGCTTTTGAGAAGGTTTTGATGTGAAAAGAAGCGCGGTGCCGGGACGAGGCTCGTTTCCTACCCCATCCTCAAAGGTATAGGACTGCCCCAGCAGGCCGAAGTACTTGTGGGATTAAGCGCCTTCCGACTGTGGAATCTGTTCAGCTTCCGAATGAATAATGGAACATCTTCAAACAACAAACCTTGAACAGGTCACTCTAAAGTCCTCCAAAAAGAACTGGTGACACCCCAGCAAAGCATCAAATGAAAAAGAACACACATGACATCTTCCACCTATTCCCGAACCTGGGTGAATTTCAGGCCGAGCTCTGGTGATGAGTGGCCAGTGGCAACTCACTTTGAGAAATCAAACATCTACCTACTCCCCACATAGATCATAGATATGGCCCTAGGGATCCACATACTCTCTGAAAAGGTGGACCCTCCTGGCACCTACATCTACCCTGTCTCCGTCCTCACCGTACCTGAGGTTCGGGACGAAAACGGATCCCTATGGTATCCTCACATTAATCAATCGATGTCATCCGGCCCGTCGGCCGCGGGAAGAAGCCCGTCGCCTCGTTTGAAGGCGAGCTCACGGTATTCGTTCCAGGAATAGGGTGTCTTCAGATTCTCATGGCACATCTCCTGGACTGGCACCGTTTCATTCGGACTGGCTGCCGATACGAAAGCTGCAGTCGATGTGGGGGCCTTCGTCCGAAACGAAAAAAGGAGGTCGACCCGCAAAGGGCTGGATGGAGTTGATGTACACCCCCTGGAACTAATGGAAGTGGAGAATGTCCCCGAAGACCATGAAATCCACCACAAACAGGTGGTGCCATCCACTTCCATGTTAGTTCCAGGGAGTGTATCCTGGAATCTTTTTCGAACGTGCCCAGCTTGGGGGTTCCAAATTGGTCTCGGATCCTCGTGCTTGCTCTAAACAGAACTGCCAAAAACCAGTGATTGGCCATGGTCCATCAAATGCACCCAAGTGGCCTCAGGATTAATTAGCTGCTCAGCTGCCAGCAAGACTGGCAAGTAGACGTATGCTGTATCTGCTCAAATCGGACCTCCAAACTAGGTGCAATGCTCCTCCAAAGGCTTATGTGCCGATGTTCTCAGTATGATTGAAAGGGTTTCAATTACTTCAAAAACTCCTAAACCGCAACCACTCCATTTGTCTCCTTGTCCACTCCACTCGCCTCCGCATCGCGGTCACTCTATCAGAAACGCTTTTCCCGCCCTTCTCGAAACACCGGGTCACGTCACCGCTGCCGTAACTGACGCGCTGCGCTGGCGCGCCTTCACGCCGATCCAGCACCAATTTCGATCCCAATCTGAGAAGTCAGACGTCATGAGAAGTCAGACGTTCGGCGAGCAGAAGTCGGGAGCAGAAGTCATCAAAAGAAGACGATCGGTGGGCACCGCAGCGGACGGTGAAGGCACCGACGAGACATGGAGGAGCTGGCTGAAACAGCCGCACCGAGCTTTGTGGAGAGCATGGACATCGTCCAAAAATGGCTTCCAACAAAAGGGATCCTTTTGTTTTCTGCATTTTGAAGCCGAGGTACCATGCAGGATCACAGCCAGCAACAAAAGAGATCCTTCAAAGCACCTCCACCACACTGAAGGTTTTGGTGAAAGAAAGTTTTCGGTCGAATCCACAGGGCCCAGCCATCCACTTCCTGATGGAATGTTGCTATAGGCATCTATAGGCTATAGTCACATGTCATTCATAAGCTAATCCCGCCTTAAAACATCAATCATTCACCCTTTAGGGTTTCAACATTTCATTGAACATCACTCTCAGCTGAAATCAAGCATCATAATTATAATGGTTTTATGTTGGTTTTCTTGCTGGATCATGCTGGATGGAACTCAACTTACTTGTGAAGAGGCTTCGAAGCGTCTGGATCTGCCTGCTCTTCACTCTCTCTCTCTCTTTCTCTCTCTAACCCCGGACGAAGAAACAAAAAACCGGATGCAAAGCTGGGGTCCCCAGGCTGTCGAAGCGGATCTGGCGCCAGTTAGGATCCTTCACGCGGTTCCTAGACTCACATTGGATCCTGCCATCGCGACGCGACGTGACGCGACGCGCGACGCGACACACGCGCCGTGACCCGACCAGCGGCAGCGGTGGCACGTCCGAGACGGAAGGATGGATGGAGAGGAAAGCAGAGAGCGAAAGGGGTGAAGCCGAAGCCGATATGATGATACGATATGTGGTGCAAGCCTGGAAATACTTGGATTCTTGGGCAGTCCATGGCGGTAAACTTGCAACTTAGCCGTCCAGATTCGTCCATCTGTGAATGGGCCGGAGGAGGCTTGTGGCTCGTTTCTGGTCAAGTGTGCGCTTGAAAAGAAGTCTTCAAAACATGACGGTTGCCCGTGTTTTCTGACAACATAGGGACCTCTTTCTGAATGATTTTGACCGACTGCGATTCTGTCCGCAGTGCAGCCGAGGAAGAGTTGGAACATCTCGCCCGCCATGGCGGGACTCCCTGGTTTCCAATGACACCTGGCATTTTTCCCCATTTCTCCCCCCCAATTCCCCATCCCTCTTCAGCCCGTCCGTCCACGGCCTGTCTCCTATGGTGATGTCCCAGCCGCGTGGTGCCCAATCGGCGGCCTGGCATCCGACGTCTCGCTCAAATGGGGTGTTCTTCAGCCATCGGTGACAGCGGCTGCGATCGAGCGCCCAGGTCCATGTCGACCCATCGAGCTGTGCGGATGACGAGCAGGGGCAGGTGGACAGCTGCTGTGGGCCCTTTTCACCCAAGCTGCACCATGTCACCGGGCACGAAAGTCTCACCAAGCACGTCAGGGCTGACGGTCTGATTCTGCTTGGCATTGCAAATCACATCACCTGAGCTCGGATCCACGCGTTCGGGAAAAGAAAATGCGACCAGCTTGGTCGTCCAGCCAGGCCAGGGCGGGGTGAGACTGGTATGTCATGCCTGAGCAATCCACTGATCTTAGACTAGTCGACTGTGCAGAGTGTGAAAAGAACACCAAAAGGGTCATTTGATGTTAGGTCCAATCAACATCTTCTTGCCTGAGACAATATATTCTCCAAAAATGCTGGCATGGAAGCTCACGTGGCCCGATTTCATTCCATTAGCTGCAGTGTCCGATTGAGATTGACATACAGAGCCAGACCATGATAAAAACAATCATTGACTAAAGCAACTATACGTGCCAGGGGTCTTCCTGTTCCTTTAGACACACAAATGAAAGGTTTCATGATCGTGGTCAGGATGATTGTTGCCTGAAAACTGCCAGATCAAATGCAAAGATGCGCTGGAGCTGCAAAAGTATGCTGGCACATGGCACATGTTGATAAGAGGTTCTTTGATAACTTAGTAGCAGCAACAGTGTAGGCCACCTTTTTGTGCCAGTTTTCGAGGTAGACGACGAAAGGGTAAGCCATGGTCAAACTTCCACCCACCGGCCTTAGAGACGTTGGTTGTGAAACAAACAACAGAATCCAGTCAAACTGACCGGGTGTTTTTGAGAATTTTGAGATCTTTGGTCAGTACTTTATGGAAATGATCAAAATTCACATCAGAATCCATCAAGTCTTTGGTAAATATTCCGTATCATGAAATCCCCAGGGATCCAGTCGTACCTTCTCAGGTACGGTGAGGACGGAGACACCGCTCTTGGTCTTGGATCGGCCTGCTCCGCCCGCCCGGCATGCGGATCTGCCTGCTTCGAAGTGTGGAGCTCCCACCTGCTCCGACTCCGCCAGACCCTTTCGTGGGTGGATGGCTTTGGGGGGGGTCAGTCCCTACCTTCGGGGTGGGAGCCCGCCCTACACTGAACCCCGGTCCACCCCAAGCAGCGAACCGAAACGTAGGGTAGTTGGAGTTGGATCCCTGTGGGGAAATAGTAATAGGGAAACACCCTTCCCCAATGGGATTGCTTATATAGGTATGCTCTTCCAGCTGGGCTCTGTTCGCCCCTCTTCCAAAATTTACACACTCCCAGACACTCCATGGGACTGGCATATTTACATTGATTGACCCCGGTTTCAACCACCCCTGGCCGTTTCTCGGTCGTCCGTCATGCCAGTTTGGAGTGTTTGGGACTGGCTTCCCAAGGGTGAACCAACCGATGCACGAACAAATCCGAAGGCGAACGTTCGCCTGGAACATCGAACACACCGATGCACACGTTCGCCACACCATTGACGAACGCCACGCTAACAACACCGGTAAACAGAATGCACCAAGAAACGCTAAAAAACCCTCCATGGATAGCTTTAGCCAAATTCAATGGATCCTGCACTGTAGAGCAAAGGCAAGAGAAAAAAACAACAACACACATGTACAAAACAGGAATAGAACAGAACAGGCATAGAAAAGAACATAATAGACATAGAAATTGAAATTAAACAACACACTCAAGAAAAGAACAGGCATAGAAAGACTAGGACCTGGAGGCCACTCACGGCAAGGTTTAGTGGTTCCCCATCTTTGCTTTCAAGGAACCTTGGACAACTGAAGACCGCCCAAATGTTGTGCAATAGATTGCAATATATAGTGAGATTGGACGGTGCAAACGCAAAATACAGAATTGAGAAAACACCTTAAAGTATCAACCTTAGAAGACTTTGCAAACCATTAAGTGAAAAAGGTCGCATGATTCTTTTGGAAGACTTGGAAGGGAAACTGGAAGGCTTGTGAATCACAGTCATATCCATTCGCAATTCAACTGCAAGAACCTAGCTCCGAACATGCCTCATGGCAACATGCCGTTGTTTCATTCAAATAATACCTCCGCACACGTCACATGTCATGCATATTTATGCATTGAGTCTCAACTCGCTCATTGCATCCTACCTTTTCTGTAGCTTCCCAAGTTGCTCGTTCGCACGTACTCGTTTCGAGAAAAAAACTTAAAACAACGGCACGAAACGGCACTCGCGAGTTGGGCACAAACTTTTTCCGAACGGCTCGCTCGTCCGAATGGAACGCGCGCCTGGGGCAGGGGATCACCTCGATCCAACAATCCGACAGGGAGAAGAAAAGGACGGAACTGGGAGGCAGCCCGCACAGAGCACGAAAAGGATGGATTCCTACGCACTTCACGTACAGTGGATGATCACTCCGCCGACTACAAAATGACTCTGCTGCGAGCAGCGGTCCAAAAAGCAAACAAATTCATGCCCGATTGCTGTTGCACGCTTTTGAATGTGACTTTGCTTGAGCTGCGGGTCCAACGTAGTTTTTAGGCATCTTACTCTCAAACTGTCCAAGAAACTGGTTTCCGATTCAATTATATTTAGAACAAAAAACTGTTCTTTGAAAAACCCACAGATCGCGTTGAGAATGAGAATTCCAACAGGGCCAATATTGGCTGATGATCGCTGTGGGTGTTTGATCCGAGTCACGATTTCGCACAGGGCCCTTCGTTCGCCGAACATGAGCCAATTCGCATAGCCTCCCTGAAACAAGCGGTTGGAAGTGGAATACAGCCGGTTCATAGAGGAATTCAGTCTTCCTTTCGGGGCCATGTGCCACTTCCATGTTTGTTGAATGGAGGGTAAATGGTCAACTGAACAGGGCCTTTCCGGCCTTTCCCATGACCAGCCAGCCCTGAGAACTTTGCCCTCTGGACAGGCCAAGCGACCCAGGAAGTTTCGCACATCCTTCGATGCCACTGACATCATGGACCTCAGTTCTAAACTTCACTGGTGACAAAGACGTGCTACTCAGGTGACTGCCGTGATTGTTCTGAGCAGAGAGATGCAAAGAGATTCATATGCATTGGAAGACAACGTCATATCAAACATAGTTATTTCTTTCTTTTCAAACGAAGATTCAGATCAAACGTTGAACTACAAAAGGATGTTCATCTACTTAGATTTTGAAGCCGCAAACTGCATGGCTGACCGATGGCCATCGTCCACAACAGCTACTTGTACTTTACTTGGAGCAATCCCCACCCTAAGAGGCGATTTGAAGAAGGCAGGGCACATGTATTGACAGACTAAAACCGCCTGGCAAACGCTGGACATGTGTGTTGACACAATGTTCTGACAGTCGTTCTGGCATCAAGTCTGGAATGTGTCTTGACGTCCTTTTTGGCATGTGTTCTGACATTTCCCCTGCTGTGAAGTTTGACATAACCTTTCTTCCATGTGCTCTCCCAACAAATCTTGCATATGTTCTGAAATGTTGTCACGTGTGGTCTGACTTCGGTTTTGATACATACATGTTCCTTGGTATGGTCTTTTCGTTCAATGAAAACACAGTTCTTGGGGCAGGTGACAGGCGACGGACATTTCTGCAGTGCATCACATCTTGTTTTGGATGGAATGGGGAACCAACAATGACACTTCCCCAAAAATACAAATAACATGAAACGGCGCAAAACGGCGTGCGGAAACACGGCACCGAATCAGTGCAATCTGTTTGAACACGTCTTCAATGATGAAGGTCCAAAGTGGCAGTTGTTCAAACAACGAGCGACGGAAACTAGCTGAGTTTCACAGTTTTGAATACCCGGGTGTCCTATGTATGTCTTCTCACATTTGTGTTGTCATGTGTTCTGCAAATGTGCCACTGTTCCGACATATACTCTTGCATAATTTGTTGATATGATATATATAATATATTATTTGTTAGTTATGATATGCGTTCTGCCATGTAGTCTGACATTTGTTCTGGCATCAAGATCAAGTCTGACATTTGTTACTCCCACATTTGATCCCATATCTGAAAAAAGCTTCTGGCATTTGCTCTGGCATGTATTCTGACATCTGTTCTGACCTTCGTCTTGCGTTCGTCCTTCTGACATGTCCTCGACCCTTCATGTCTCTGACCGTTCGGACCCGCGCGGTGTGCCCGGCTTTCACGGCCGAAGGCACGAGGGCGGGGTGAAGGTGGGGAAGCACATCAAGTTGAGACCAACCATAGGACTCGCATCTTGACTTACATTGGGGTGGTGGATTTCAGGATGTCGATCTCCATCGATGCCAGTCCCATGGGATGGTCGATGGAAGAGACGAGGCCGAGCCGCACGGAGGCCGAGGGCCCGGCCGCACGGACTGATTCACCAGTTGAAGTTGCAGCGAACTGGCGCCAGTTGAGACTGGATGTCCAAGAGGAACACTGAAACAACGACGAGGTGCTGAAGGCTGAATAGCGCCGAAAAAGGCTGAATAGCTGCACCCAAACAGCATGACTCAAATAACACACAATTCCCCATTCTAAGATGAGTTCAAACCAGCAACGTCTCCATCATCTAGCCGATATCCTCATGATCGGATCGGCCTGACCGTCGCCTGACCTGAGTGATCACAGCCCCTTCACTTGCGTGTTGGTGGATGTTTTAAAACCCTGGAAGATCCAAGTAGGTGCTGGGTGGCCATGTAGGTCTTCCATCCAAAGCCTTTCTCGTTTGTGATCGGAACTGCACCGGTGGACCACTGGCCCACTGGATCACAGAACACATGCGAGTCCTGAACACACGGCACCAGCCCCGCTTCACCCTTGGTAGGTTTATCTACTCTGGTAGACTTATTCTGTTCATTTGGAAGGACAAATCCAGGGTTTTGTGGTGCCATGACCCACAGCCATATCTCTATGTGATACCCGGACTAGGCAGACTTGGACTTGGCAGCCTTCATCGATGTAAAACGTGTGCCAGATCCGGGTGCCAGATCCGGATCCATTGACGCACTCATGTCCAAAACCGACCAATCCAACCGGGGGGCACGTGCTGAATAACAAGCATCCCGAGGTGAAGGGACGTGATGGCTTTGCGAGATCCGTATCGAAGAAATGATTTCATCAAATCGATCATCTACCTGGACACGGACATTACCTTATGGAACTTGTAATGTATTGTGCCCATCTTGTTGAGGTACTTGGAGGGTCCAGGGATGTAATTGGAGGGTTCAGGAATGTTTACAGATCTGTGAGAACAACATTCGCCTTGCCCTGAAAGCAACTCCGTATACAACATGGTCAAACACCTCCGGTCTGGTGAGCAACTATCACTACGTCTTGGAACAATGAACATATATTTTAAAGACCGGGTCTCTGAATTCAGCCAATCAAATGCTTCATGTGGGCATGTCCTGTTGCTATTTGGATTTTATGTAATATTTGGTATAACATTATTGTATTTATGTATCATGTGGGTGCACATTGAAAAAGGGGCACCCCCAATCAATGGGTTTTGGTTAACTCCCTTCTTCTAGGGGATCGTTGCCTGGGAGGTCTTCCTATTTCAATACACTCCCATATATACCTTCATTGTCCTCTTCAAGCGTCCTCTCCGTCGAATTGACACCATCCAGTGCCTCCGCCCTCCCGGTTCGCCTCGTTTCACCCGATGAAACACCTCGGCAGCCGCAACGGTCTGCGTCGGGCTTCACCCGAATGCCCAACCCGAGGTCGACGTCGACAGCGGGCTGCAGGGCGAGTTGGCTCGGGAATGGAACGGTTTTTCATCACCTGATGGTTCTAGTACAGCGAAAAGTGTGTGGTGTGATGCCCACAACAGCTTCTATATAAAGGACCAAGAAGCAATGGAACGCTCCAAGGCTACGGAATGGAAGTATCTGCGTGGTGATCTGAATTGCATGGCACTGTTGGAAGGTCGTAGAATGGACAGCTTCATCAAGAAGGGTCTAACCATGTCGAGCATTGCCAACAGTCCAATCATATACCAGTGAATGTTGCAATCTTTTGCACCTATATCTGGACCTTCAAAGTGACCTCTTTGGAGTCTGTATACGTGACCTCTTTAGGGACTAAGTGGCCTCATTCTAGGATCTCAAGTTAGGTCACTTTGAAGGTCCTGGTAGAGCATGTCTGATGTGGATTGGCGATCTCCCGAGTTGAACGTCCCATGCCGACGCCATCGTCACGTCCTCGTCACGACCCATGCCGAAAAGCCCCCACGAAAAGCGAGGCGGTGGAAAAAACCCTGGGGGTCCGCACTATGTGCCTGCGCCACCGGGAGAACTAACGGTGAACGGCGCATGTTTGATAGCCACAAAGCGGTTTTGAAAGTGGGTGCATGGACCTGTTTTCAATTGTTTCTCAGTGAATGAAAGAAGAAGCAACACGGAGAGCCTTTTTCAGATTCATCAAGAGTCATCATGACTGAAAACAAATGCATCTGAGTGGTTCCGACACATGCCTAAAACCACATAACACACCGAAGCCTACCCAGTCATCATCCTTTGAGTGTCCTTTGTCCTGCCAGTCATCTGCCACCCGGCAGGTAGAGAGACATGGGAGTGAAGGGAAGTGAACAAGTGCCGACCAGTGCAGCGACGAGATCATCGGAAGACGAGGGGCTGGACCCACCGAAGGTGGGGATGAACCCCCACCTAAAAGCCACCGAACCAAGATGGAGGCATGGGCGAAAGTCGCGTCAAACTCTCCAACCTCAACGAAAGTCGCGAAAAAGCGCCATACAACGAACGTCGCGAGGGCGCACCCAAAGCTTTCCATTGCAGAGCCACCTCCGCCGGTGTCGGTGGGCATCTATGTGTCTGTGTGTGTGTATCTCAGCGAGATTGCACCTGCCAAAGCCTTGGTAGATAAAAGGTTGCTTTGGAAGAAAACAAGCGATTGGACATACAATGCGTATAGTATAGTTACTGCAGTATTAGTATGTTGTTTGAGTTACCTTCAACATCATCTCATCATCTGAGAACGCAGGACTCCAGGACCGTCGACACCGTCGACCAGGGTGTGGCGCTCAAGTTGTCCAACGATGTCTCCCAGCATGTTGCACCACCTTGGGGATATGTCGTGACCCACCATGTTCAACACCCCCTCCCCCCCCAAAAGAAAGAAAAACAAACGGGAAGAACCAAACAACCCG